AAACAGAATAATAACTGATATATTTTAAGGATTATTATAAACAATAATAAATATCCTAAATAGAAAATTTAATGGAAATTTTTGGATAAAATATTAAACTATTATCAAATTTAAATAATTTTAAAATCAAAAGAATTATCATCTATTATCACTAATAAACAATTTCAAATCTTTTAAAAAAAAGTTTCACTTTTCGAGATTTTAATATTTTAATTCATTCATTTCCAAATATACAATCAATTAAGTTTGCAATGATAACAATTATCAATTACAATTATTACTAGCAAACAATATGAATGATTAGTAATGTGATCTGTTTAAAATTATTTCTATTAATATTCAAAAATTTCTCCCTTTCCTATTTCTTAGTAGGTGAAACATTTGACGAAGTTTAATTAATTACAGTAATGATAGTTTTAACATACAGGAATAATGGAATTGTGTAATTGAAAATTAAAAATAATTATATGACATGTGAAAAGTTTGAAAATTATTTATTGCTAATAAGTTATTGCATTGAATTTGCAATGTTTTAATTAATCAAACAATTATATTTTCATCATTTGATTAACATTTTTATTATAATATTTTCATATTTTATACAGTAACACGAGGAAAAAAATATCAAAATAAAATTTTCAATTTTTGATAAAAATGATAGCAAAAAACCGTCCCACATAATAAAAATTTCAAAAAAAAAATTGTAATTACTTCATTCTATTTATGGAATTTAATTTAACTTTCAAATATTTGCCAAAAATATGGTTTATTTCAAATTTCAACATTTATTAGGACATTAGGACATAAATTTAATTAAACCCATTAAATTCGTTTCTATTGCATTGCATTAAATTTAAGTATTAAATTTAATTATTTCAGAGTTTTTACAATTTCAATATTTAACAATGATGTCAACCATGTACGTTAGTTGTTATTATAAGCTTCTATTATTACTTTAATTAGTACCAATATTTAACAAAACTTTCAAGTCGAATGTTCATTTTATACTTAAAGTTTAAAGAAATAAATTAATTAACAAGGGATCTTTTAAACTGAAAATTGAATCAATCAATTCGATTCCATTCTCTAATGAAAGATTGAATTATCATTAAATCGAACAAAGATTCACTGGAAAAAAAAACCAAAAATGGGATTAAAAAAAAAAACTGTCGTTATTGATCAAAAATTGATTTTAATTGATTTATTATAATGGCAGAAATTAATTCATTATAATAAATATTATTTCAATTATTAATTAACGATTTAATTTGATAAAAGAAAAAATTAAAGCTGAAATTTTTAAAAAAATAAGAAATAAAGAAGAGAGAGAGAGAGAGAAGAAAAAAAGGAAAAAGTGAATAAACAAACCAAGCAGGCTGTAATTGGTTGGAAATTTTGTATCGTATCGTAATGGAAATGAATAACGACATATCGGACATTTGCATATGTAAATTGAACTGAATTTTAAAGCAGTAATACAATCATGACAAAAGCTATGACCACAGGGTAGAAGTTTTGGGATGCAAATATTTTGCTTAAATGGTTCGAAGCAAACCTGTAAAATAGAAATTAAATTATTCATTACATTTCATAGTTATTATATTGTTTAAATAATGAATTATATTTCATATTTACTTATTATATTGTTTAAATAATGAATTTTGTTATTAATTAAATAATTATGCTACCAACTTTATTTTAAATTCGATAAATAATTATATTCCCTAAGGCAAAAACAAAAAAAGTTTCCTTTTTCTTTTTTTTGATATAATCATTAGAAAAAGTTAATTATTTGTAGTGAAAAAAATTAAAATTTTTAATTTACCTTTATGTCGTAAATTATTGCAAAAATTTTTTGATATTTCAATTTTATTATGGAAACATTCTTTTTTTGATGGTAAAATTTTAATTTGCATGTGGAAAATAAAGTCTTGCAAAATTTGAAAAATTACTTCTTTATCTCTAAATCTTATATTTTTCTGGTTATCAGTGACTGATAATATCAATAATTTTTCTTCGTTCATTTTTTATTAGATAATAGAATTAATGAATTATTTCTCGATTTTAATTTTTGATCTTTTCATAAATTGTACAGTGAGAAAATAATTGCATAATGTATTCGAAAATTAAATATCGTGAGAAATATTTGGTTTAAAAACGTTAAAAACTTTCTTTTATTCTAAATTTTGTAACTAATATTTCTGAAATTTTGTTTTATTCTAATATATTTAAGGAATATAACTATAACCACTTTATTACTAATTATTAACACAAAAAATTGGTATTTAATATTTAGCATAATCAACTTATCACTAATGATATCTTTCTTCCTAAAAAAAAAAAAAAAAAAAAGGAAAGAAGAAAAGAAATGGGAATTAATATCTAACTTAATCAACATATCACTAGTTATTAGTTTCTTTCGAAAAACAAAAACATTTGCAATTAATATCTAACTATGGAAGAAAGCTTAAAAATAGTAACATTAAATTATTAGAGATATGATGGTGATAAATTGTCATATAATCACCGTAATTTGTTATTTAGGTTATGATTGTAAGACAGAATACAATCTATTAAGGTCCATCCTTAAATAATAATAATAATAATAATAATAATAATAATAATAATAATAATGATAATAATAATAATAATAATGTGCAGTAATTATAGGTGCTGGATAAATTATCCGGTTTATTTAGATTGTACGTTTGCCAATTCCGGAATACTTCCAGAATTATATTGATATTACTGAGAAAACTGGGTAGAAATAAAAATGGTTTTTCTTTTGACAATTATCCTTTCCCCTTTTTTTCTTTTCGAATTAATTTATTTAATTATTACAATTTAAATTTTTAATTTTAAAATACTTCACGATTATTATAAAATCGTCAGTTATGAAATATTATCATTTAAAAATTATCAGTTATAAATTATTACTATTTACTTTTATTTAATACTTACTTGACAAAGTGAAAGACCATTGTTATCATTGATATTTGATAATAATGATAATGATGATCTGTGTAATATTTTGCGATTCTCAATTGATACCATTTGCTCCAACGTTACTTCGGAAATAACAAATAAATACGAATTTATAGTATTTAAAAACGATTCGATAAGATTTCGATTCAATTTCAATTAGATTCCGATTATTCGATTAGATTCGATTAGATACATACATACATATATGTACAAAAATGAAGTCAAGTTTTATATGCTCCATTTACAAATTTACTCATTATGTTACAATATTTAATTTAAATTTAAAATTAATCACTTACTAAAAATTAACATATCCAATTGAATTACTATATGCAATTTAATTTAATTAAAATTTATTTGCTATTTTCTTCTCTAAGGAAGGAATGGGAAAAAAGGGGATGAAAAAAAATTAAATTTACAACTAATTATGCAATAATAAATAAACATAGAAATGAAATATGCATTATAGAATAATAAATAATGTGAAAATGAAATATGCAAATATTTACAACAAAAAAAAAACGATTATCTAATATTAGCGATTAATTAATGATTACCTATTATTGCTAATTAATGCATAATCATTTCATATTCAGGTAAGGAAATAAATTGAAAAATGTCAACTATACAGTATTGTCACTTTAAATGAACATTCTCACTTCTTAAAAACCACTCTCTTCATTCCCATTTCTATTTATATTTACCTTTCATTTTTTTTTTAAATAAAATTTGATGAAAGAAAATGGGAGAGAAGAAGAGAAAAAAAAACAAGTAAGAAGAACGATAAGATTACAAATAAATGTAATTTTATCATTGTGAAATGCTTGTGGAAAGAGAATTATTTTAGAGTAATTTGAACTTCAACAAATGATTTCAAAAAAAAAAGAAAAAGAAAAAAACTTGAAAATAAATGACAAAAATTATCATTTCATACAGCAAAGGTTAATTAATAAGATTTCATTTCAAATAATAAATTAATTTCATCTTTTTTCTTTCTTTTTTTTTCATTCAATTAACCTGTTTGTCATTATTTCACCTTATTTATCCATTCAAAGAAAAGTAATTAAAAATTTAATAATCTTATCAATGATCATTTACATTAATGATCTTTTTACTACAAATTATTATCATGAAAATTATAATTTCATGAAATCATGAAAATCATGAAAAAAAAAACAAATTACCATGAAAATTTTGTGAATAAAAATGCTTCATTTATATTGTGTAAGTATATATGTATGACATTTACTGTAATTGTATCATTAAAATGCTACAACAATAACAATTATTTGTTCTATATGCATGTATGCTTATTGTATGTGTATTGCTATAATAATGAATATAACATATTAATATGCAGTAATTATCAAATAAGTAAATTATTGAGAAAAAATATTACATAATGGATAGAGAAATAAAGTATGAGAATAATTAAATTTAAAAGAAAAAAAATAAGAACAAAAATTCCTAAAGAAAAAATCGAAATTTCTTTTTGAAAAATATCTGAAATTTTAGGAGATTTAGATAGAATAAGAAATATTACAGAAAAAAAAAATCGTTTGTAGCATAAAGTGGCAATGATATATCAAAGTAGAAAGCTTTTTCCTTCTTTTAGTGTAATGATAAGTTGATGGAATTTTATGTTATACATTTAGAGAGAGAGGGAGAGAAGGGGAGGGGGATAGAGGGAAGGTGGAGAGAGGAGGAGAGAAAGAGAAAGAATATGAAAAAGAGGAAGAAGGTGAAATTTAGGTGAACAAAATTTGAAATCTCTTTGTTTTTTTTGATCATTTAATGTTTCATTCATTTGCTACTATTTCTACTCCCGCCATTATTTGTTACAATTCTTATAATTACTACTACTACTACTACTACTACTACTACTACTACTACTACTACTACTACTACTACTACT